TTTAACCCAAAAGTTAGCTCAGCAGAGAGGGGACGATTTTCTAATTATGAACCTTTGGTACGTATTTTTCCTTTATAACAACAAAAAAAAAAAAAAAAAAAGTGGCACGTAAAGAATTTAGTATAAAATGGAGCTTAGGTTTTTACCTCAAACCCTACCTACTCCTGTATTTATTAAACAAATTAAAACTTGTTAGAGAAACTTAAAGGATGATGGGCGAGGGCAGTAGTTTTAGTTTTTGGCCCACATCAGAAAAATCCAAGATCCGGCACTGTTTAAAAATGCTACTGTATAAAAATGCTATTTTGGTAATCAAGAATACTTTATAGTTACATTTCAACTTGCACACTATTCCGATATCTATAGGCTGAATGACGAATATACAATTTGGAGGAAAGAATAATACGGATACATTATCTTTCAATAAAACTTAAAGTGAAGCATGAACCATACACGTCAACAATCAGGTAAACCAACATCATTTTTGCGTTGTCAGGTATGACATGATTTTCAAATCAATCATTGATTAACACTTGTATCATCCATGCTCTTTTACTTGCATGATATATAACAGGGAAAATCTTTACTCCTTTAAATGCTCAAGGTAGTGTAGGGCCCACCAGCGGCCGAGCGGTAAAGACGCTGAACACTGGTAGTTCGGTCTGAGGTTCGAATCCCACGAACGGGCTGGCTGCATGGGCGTTTTCGTGGTTTTCCCCATGTGTAACGTGTATACGAGCCAATTTCCCTTAGAAAGTCCTCCACGAAAGGCATCCCTCCCTTTAGGCAGATAGACCTCGTGTGCTTTGCCATAATTAAATACACCAAGGTAGTGTATTTTTTCCAATTACGAAAAAAATGAAATGAACAGATGATTCAATATGTAATAATTCAATATGTTTACACTTGCCCGCTCCTGCAGCACCTGTGCATGCTAAAATCATTAGTTTGGAATCTTTGACATCAGTTAGAGCTTTTTCTGTAGAGTTTGCCAAGGTATTTCATGGTACATATTGCCAAAAAGACCAATTTCATCAGTGTTGTTAATTTGTTGAGATAACTGTTCACTATTAGTGAGTTTAATAAAATCATCTGCAAATAGTTCGAGAGCTTCAGTATCAACTGAGCTATCATGAGATTGGCAATGAAAGAAATGTTTCACTGAATTCTGTCTTGCTTCTATACCGCACTAAAACAATTAAGGCTAAATTGATTATTTTAGTTATTCATTACCACTTATGTCTATTTCTTGCACATGCTTAAGAAATGACACTATTCCAAACACCATCCATGTCTTTCTTGCCACACATACTATTCTACCCACGTTTTCACATGCTATTCTTATCTGGTCCTGAATAAATAAATTCTCACATATACAAAGGCTTATCAAGGGCCAGCGCTAGATATCTTACTGCCTGATACAGTCTCTGTAAGTCCTAAATTCTGCTATCAAGCACCTCCATAAGTTCTAAATTTTTCCCTCCCTTAAATTTTGGGTCCCAGTGCTTTCCCTAAATTCTAAAAATTTTGTCATCCGTCAACTTTATTGCTCGGTGCTTCTGTAAATTTACAAAATTTTGTCTTTTCAAAAACATTCCACTATCTGGGCCATACGAGCTCTGGTGATGGTTCTGGGTTTCTCTGAATAACAAGTCAGTTATTCTTAATTCACATAACACTAAATGTAATCTTTTGGCCTGTGAGTATCATTAGCAAAATCTAATCTTATTAGCATATGGACAGAAATTTTTGTTAAATTCTTCGTCAACATTTCATAGTACATTTAACTTAAATCTGTAATCACTGTCAAGCATAATGTCAACAAGAAAGTTTACCATACTCTTTATTATTCAATTACTGTTATACAAAAATTGTTCAGACATCGCTGCATGAGTCATTACATAAGTTGTTGTGTGCTGATAAACATGCAGGAATGAAAGCCAAACATAGTAAATAATCATTCGTCAGGTTGGCATCAGGGATATAAAACATTAATTAGTGTAAAATCAATGAAGTTTCTATGTTGAATATTTTGGTTTGAGATGTATGCGAAGCAGATATGCAGCTACGGAGTCAAATTATTGATCACGCAAATTTATGCTAAAATGAAAACTCCTTCAACAGTGAGGTATTTCATTTAGTGCTGAAGTGAAATTAAGAATCGGGGTTCTCCACATGCTTTAATATGAGGTAAAAACCAAACACACACACACCAAAAAAAAAAAAAAAAAAAAAAAATCTGAACGGTTTCAGACTTTAAATTACGTCCAGCGGGACATTTTTTTTTAGCGTTTTGCGTTTTACCTTTCTTTATTAAATATCATGTTGCTTGCACTAAAACTCAGTTCAACAGCAATGTAGCAAAATAATTTTAAAACGAGCATATTCTTTAGAATTTCTGATATAAAGTTATGCACGGTGGAGATAACAAGTGCCCCCCTTCCCCGTAGAGCTTAGCCATTGCTCGCTTTTAAATCATTGAGTTTGTTAACCAAAAATTTGTTAAAGTTTTACAAAATGTGAAATTGATAATAAAAAAAAATTCCAAATTTCAAATTTGGGCTTTCAGATACCCATATTCACAGTAGGATTACGTCATTCAAAATTGGATGGCTCTAGGTACCGTTGTTTTATTACAATGCGAGAAACATACATACATTTATGCAAATTCTTCATTATTTAGTTTCTTCAAATATGATACAGGGCGGCAGTATTTGGTGCAACAGTGTAACATCACAAAATAGTTTTAAAATGAGCATACCTTTAGAATTTCCGATACAGAGACTCACACACTGGAGATAAAAATGTTTTTTCTGTACAATGTTGCCATTGCTTGCTTTGAAATCCCTGATTTTGGTAATCAAGAATTCTTTAAAGTTTTACAAAATAGGAAATTGATAATAAAACAAATTCCAAATTTCACATTTGGTCTTTCTTCCACATGCCCATATTCATAGGAGGATTCGTCATTCAAAATCCGATAGCTCAATATACCATTGTTTTATCACAATGTGAGAAATAGACATACATTTATGCAGATTTTTCATTATTTAATATCTTAAATTATAATAAAGGGTGATAATACTTTGCGGCAACAGTTTGAAAAGTGATTCACCGTTTGTAGTGAATTGACGCAAAATTGCAAAATGAGAACAATAGTCCTTCACGGACAAATCCCTTTGGACTAATAAGAGAAAATCTGAATGGTTTCAGATCTTAAATTACGTCCAAAAGGGAGTTTTTTTAATGTTTTGTGTGTTACCTTTATTTATTAAATATCGTGTTCATTGCACTTAAACAATAAAATTCCGTTCAACAGCAATGTTGCAAAATAATTTTTAAATGATTATTGAGACTTCAAAATTTCAATTGATTTCTTAAATAGAATTCTAAACAACATAATTATAGGGCTTGAGCAATGAAATTCGTAACCAAACAAGAAATTATGTCTCTTGTCTCTTTATTCAATTAAAAAGAAAGTTTTAACACATAAAATAAAACTATTTAGATGAAAAAAAATTAAATAACACAATGTTAATACTAAATACCCATCCCCCCTTTCATTATTTCACAAACCTCCTTTCACATTCTTAATTTCATAATTTCTACATGTAATTTACTAGATTTAAATTAATGACCTAAAACCCAAAATTATCAAATTTGCTGAAGTCTCAACAGTTCTGAATCTTGGACTCTGTACTGTAAAACTTGCATAATTCATCCTCATACATATGTCATCACTAGCCATCAAAGCTTATGACACCAAAGACTTTTCTTAGAACTTTTTTTCTAATTAATTACCTTATAGTACGCATTTATTTCTAGCCACTTTTCCTTAGAAAGTCTCACAAAGGTTTCCTCTCTATGACTATAGCCCTCGTATGCACAACCACTAGTCAATTAACCATCAGTCATAGTAAATAATTAAACATTTTTTTAAACAAATGTCTGTACCTAAAGTAAGGTCAGAATGAAGCATTGTGAAGTCCAATAGAGCCATTACTCTTGATAAAAACTTTATTATAAGCACAGCCAAATGAAAACGCTCCAAAGCCTTAGAAGCATTCCTTTAGAGTTTCCAACATCCATTTTCATTGTTTTTACAAGATGAAAACAAGCTTACAAAAAAATTAGGCTGATTTTTGGCACTCTTTAACATCTGAAAACCTAAGTTCAGGCTTTTTATGCCCATGCAGTAATCAAAGTTAGGTTATATCACTGCAACTCTCCATAGATCCAGAACAACAAAATTTCAAATTAACCTAATGCTATATCAAGTAAAAGAACTTCCAAATTACAGATGCCACATTATGCGAAAATATGGCCCATAAAATATTTGGGAATTTAAAAACTGAAAGTAATAAATATCCTTTTAAGCAATGCTTAGTTTAGTTTATTACTACATGTTATCTGTGAAATAAAATACACTACTAATTTTTTATACTCATACATACTTTTACAAACTTCAAATCAATAGTATTTTTAAAATGAATTTTCTAGTATCATCCATATCAGCATGAAGCAAAACAAAATGAAAACTGATCTACAGTATCAAAATGAGTTTTTAAAATTAAAATTGTCGCCTTCATACAGTTCAAGTTAAAATTTCTGCTATATAACATACATATTTTGAAATTTTTACCCAGGATTACCAGTTATAAAATTTCCTTTACTTCTTTATAATTTATTAACTTTTTTACAAAGCTTAAGAAGATGACCCATTTTTAAGTATCTTATAATTAAAAACATGTGCAAGTATGAAATTTCTAGAGATTTGTTTCAATGTTTTAGTTCAATTAATTACAAATTCTTCTTTTCCACCAGTCTAAAAAATAATTTTAGATACTGAAATTCTCCACACTAAGCCACCTGTTAAAATCAAAACATATTTTAACTAATAGAGTGGGATGACGAAACTGAAGAAGGTAAGAATATTGGCCTCTAATTGGGGGGAGAGACATAGTATGAATAGTTATATTCAAAACAATGACTACACTTACATTTTTCCTGTATCTGCCTTCCGACACCCGTATACTTCACCAAACCCTCCCCTGCCAATGATTCGATGAACACTGAAGTCATTCATTGTTAACTGAAATATAAATATTGATTACTTAGTAAACAGACTGATAAAGTATATTATTTTATTGACACATGCCACTATAACTATATAAAATAGAAGAGAGACGTACTTGTATGTTAAGCTCTAAATTTTTCCACTGGCAAAACCTTGTATATTTTTCACTGAGGACAAAAATATAATATATATATATATATAGCCTGTATATAATAATTTAATTTTCCAAAATAAGAAAATTTTTAAAAAATAAGGCAGATGTGAAAAATATGATAAAAATTCATGTACAAGGTCAATGCTAATTTCAAACATATATTTATCTAATTACAAAACATGCTTTAACACAAAAGAATACCAAAAAGGCAGTATGTCAAGTAAAAATTTTAATTTATTATAAGTTATTAACCTTATGTGAATACAAAAATATTTTATATCATAACTTTTTATTTTAATAAATGACCTAATGTTTTTTGCATTATTTCTATATAATGCAATAAAGTGATAAAACTATACAAAAAAACTATAATAATTTTATAAAAGTCGCATTTATAGGTATATTATCTTATGTGGCCTCCTTTATCACTGCCTAATTTAAATGTGGCCTCTCATGGTAGAAAGGTTCTTCACCTCTTGTATAGCGGAATTTTCATACCATCAGTCAAATTGGCCTTTAAAAATTTACATCAATGTCAGTTAGTCACCAAACAAAGTACTGCAATTTTAGCCACCTAGCAACTACTGGACTTTCCTTTTTACTGTACTCAGGGAGGCTGAATGTAATTTATACTGAATTAAATTTAAATATATCAATATGCACATCAGTATGAATTTACATTCAGATAGCAATTTAACTTTACGTTTAATATTGCAGATTCGTGAGCTGACGTGATCATAATCTGAATATGCCAAATCAGAAAATACAATGTGCAACCAGAAGTGATGCGGAAAATTCAACAAATATAAAATTGAAAAGCTTAATTTTCTTACAAGGACATACAGGTTTTATTTCCTTCAGTATCAGAAATACTGCATTTTTTTCAAAAAAAATGGAGCTTCATGACAATCTTGCATTCAGCGAGTCATCCTGCTAATTACAGTTACTGACTTGAGTCCCTTATTCATTAGGCTGATAATTTCTAGAGTATTTCATTCATCTTTGTTTCAATAAACTATCTCAAAAAACAATTGCATTATAACTCCTAAATGTCAAGTGAAATCTTCAAAAAATTGTGACATAATTTTTTTTATTACAAAATTTTTTATTGCAAAAACTTTTATAGTATTTACAGGAAAAATATTTATAAGAAAATTAATTTGGTAGAGTTTATTCACAAAGAACAATATGCTCTACTTTACAATGAATATTCATTTGTGGAAATAAAACAATGAAGAAAGTAAGCATAATTCGCAGTAGCATTAGCTAAATGATTTTTATTTAATGATGGAATGACAATTCATTAGGAACTGCAATTATTGCTTTGTAACAAAACAATGAAGAAAATGTAAGGAAATTCAGAAATTCACTGCAGAACTGATGTGCTATTTTGGGAGGATGGCAAGAGTAGAACTTTGTCCTTGATAAGGAGCATCTGCCACATATGTTAGCAACCTCTTGTGACAGCCAAATATGAACTTTCAGTTTGGGTTAAAGTTTGACCCAAGAACTATTCATGCATTCTCAAATCTTTCTATAAGGAGTGAATACTCCAAGGTATTACGACTCTCATTATGCAGATCATCTCTAAATTTTGAATTAAAATATTTTGTGTTAAGAAGTGGGAGATGTGCCTGATCCCATTCTTTAAAATTAACGATAATAGATTTCATTGGATTTTAAACTTTCTTGGCTGTATTCTGGCCAAGTTGGGATAAAAATCACCAAAAATTTATGAGCCCAGAAGAAGCTTCAAATCGTGTCAAACTGATGGCAAATTTTGACAATGTCACATACTACAATTTTACTAAAAATTGGAATCTCGAAGAAAAGCTATCAGTGTGAGCAAAACAATCAGCTTAAGGCACCCAGTATGAAAGTCCAAAGGGATCCTTCCCATTATTTTTTAAAACTATCAGCTGTACTCTTCCAGACAACTGGACAATAGGTGGCAGGTGTCCTGAAAATTATGTGAGAATGTAAATGCTTTACCTTCCCTGAAATGTTATTTCTCAGACAGAGAAGAAACTCCTAAAAATTGAATTTCAGCAGAAACAGATCTAGCATAACTCAAGCCCAGTTCCAGTATCAAACCTAGCCCACCGGCCATCGCGTGCAAATTAAAATTGGCCACTCTTTTTTACAGAAATATAATATATTTGATAATTATTTCATCGCCCACGTGCTGTGCACCATCCATCTTGCACCCCCTCCCCGTTAGGATCGGCCCTGCCGAGTTCAATAGTTCTAGACTATGTTATAATGCAATACAGAGATTATTAATTTTCAGAATATTTCAACTCTTTCATATATTCTTTATTTTAATCATTATTAGAACCTTTTCTTCGCCCCGGCTGCTCTCCTTCAAAATTAGGGGCGGAACTGAGCAAAGTCGTACTGTTACCTGTATGGTGCTCAAAGCTCTAGCCGACTACAGGCGCAATCTTGCTCTCCTTGCCATGATGAATTTCGTGGGCTTGTTCTTATGTCACTGTCAAGCAAGTGAGGTAACTCAAAGCAACAGAACTCTTTCTAATTACGCGATTTTAAATGTTCAAATGAAAAGGAACGCCATGCACACCACATATTATATCTAAATTTTAAAATGTTTAATTTTAGAAAAAAAAAAAAAAAAAAAATCTTGCATATTGAGACAAGCCATGCATGAAGCAAGAAGTTGAGTTGCAACTGGGGCAGAAAAATTTCTTTAAAGATAACAACAAGTCTGATGGAATGCTATTTTCATAACTGCCAATTAATTTGTAGTTAAATTCATAATCAAAGATTTACAACTCTTATTGCGTACTTCTAATTTTCATACGCAACTGAAATTTAAAAATATTTTTAATTTTTACACAAATAAAATTATGTAACACGTTCAACTTCTACACAAAATGTTCATAATTTTTTCCCAGTAAATCAGTGGAATTTTTCTTTTTAGTCAACACTTTAAGAAAGAAAACATATACATACATCTATTGAAAACATATTATACATACACACATAAATTATAAGATTTAGTATACTGACCTTTCAATAAACTTACTAAATATGTCACCTCTTAATAAACTAAATATTTCTTCTATGTATGGCTTTAAAAAAAAATAATACATATTAAAGCCTGAGCAACACAAGAGACAGTATGCAAAAATTAAATTTAAAAAAAAAAAAAAAAAAAATTATTTTAGATATTCTGTTAGTAAGAATATTATAAAACATGACTGTGTTACCTGAAATAAATTAACTGGAACTTCATTTTTCATCAAATACTTTTGTACATGGCTTACAGCTTCTTTGGAATAATCCTATGTTTTAAAAATAATCATGTGTTAAACATTTTTCATGAAAAATACTTAAATAAATAAAATATAAGGCACAAAAAAATATCTTTCAGAAATCATATTAACAAAAAAAATACAATTACCATGTCCAGCAAATCAGCTTTTTTCAAACTTCATTGATGCATAAAGTCACTCAACTTCTGATATTAATTTAGTAAGGTTCAGTGAGGCAAACCAGAAATTTCATTTAAGGATGAAAGAATGGAAATTCGAAGAAAACGCAGTGTCTGTATCCGGAGAACATATCCAAACTGAAGAAATCTGAACTATCCTTAAAGTCATGATAGATATAACATGATCCTAACTGAAGAAATCTGAACCTAACTCCACTTCCTACTCCTTAAAGTTCCTACTCCCTAAATCTACTGTAAAGCATGAATATAATTTACGAGTCATAATAGTTGAACCTTGTTTGAAATGTTATTCTTGCATTAAAACCTATCTGCATAAAGGCAAGCATGCTGTAGTTATTTCCTGTGTTCGCGAAGTTATCAAATACGATCGGCTTTTTAAATTAGTATATAATGAAACACTTAAAAAAAAAAGGGGGGAAAGAAAAATAACAGGCAGATGGAAAAAAGTTAAAGATAAGAGGATTGGCAGACAATCATGGTACCGAAATCAACAAACGAGAGTTTACATAAAAGAATATAAAGAATGTTGAAAATATTTCTTTCCTTCTTGTCCCTCAATAATAACAGCAATGAAATACGTATCTTTATTTAACCTCTTCCGACGATAGAGCTTTCATAAAAATGTTTATTCTCTCGGATAAAAATTACTTGGCATCCTGTTAATGAACATTAGTTCTTTTAATGGCACCCGCTACCTCCGAGGCATACTGTACGGAAAGTCGACATACATCTTTTTCCAAATGAAGAAAACGCGAAAAGATTAAAAATTAACTAAAAAAGATATTAAATTAAAAAAGAAAGGAACTAAAGCAATTCATGAAGCCCGTCAAAGAAGACGACACTGACTATTTCATAAAAATCCAATCAAGTACTTTGCCGATGCCAAAATGGTAAACTACGAAAACTCAAGATTAATAAAGAAGATGGCAGAATACTTGTTTACGATTAATGAATGTTTTTCATCAAATATTACTACCCCATTAACTCCTAAAATTCACTGTCACACATAATTTATTGAAAAAAAAAAAAAAAAAAAGTTCACTAAAAAAGAAGAAAGGGGAAAAAAAAAAAAAAAAAGATAGGAAGACTTTTCACTGAAATTTAAATGGAAAATGTCACGTTTGCATTAATCCTGCATACTAAAAACGAACAAAAATTATTTTTAAAAATACGTTTAAAATCAGGTTATTGCATTATTTCCTTCCCTTCCTTCAACCTATTAAAAAAGTATTAAACTACGCGCTCAAAGTAATTTGATTTTCAAACACTGCTCTTCAAAAAGGACACAGATGTAGTCTTATTATCAAGAAGAATAAAGGATCTTTAACCAACTTTACGTAGTTAACTACTTCTAATCTAAGCACATTCCCCTTCCCACCCACCCCAAGAAAAACCTCTCAAAAATTGTCCCCCTTTTTTATTATTTTTTTTATTTATTTATCCCCCCCCCCAAAAAAAAATTACAACAAAATAATACAGACAAAATATAGATGAAAAATTTCTCACTGGCCCAAAATAAGAGAAAGACAAAATAAGGAAGAAATACTAAGAGAAAAATATAAAAAATTCCTTTACTCCTTAATGCCTTTAATATTTTTTTAAACACGCCATAGTCTATTCCTTTAAAATAGGCACTTCAAGACCGCTGTCAGCCATCCGCATTTGCGAACATAACGTGTGTCGTCATCATTGCATAGTACTTATTTTCTTCACTTCATCTGAGATTACAATTTAAGACAGCCTTTAGTCGGGCGCTTTTAATGAAACACGCTAAACGCAAAATGAAGGGAAGACAGCGGGGAAAAGACTATACTCAAATCATCTGCTGCACCTGTCCGTTCCCATAATTATGAGGAAAGTCGAGCGGCGGAAAATAACCTTACAGTTCCTATTTTAATGTATGAGTAGCAAACTTACTTTGCATATACTGACATTTCATATGCATTGGACCTTGAAATTTATGTACATTATTATTTCAATTCAGTACGATATATTTTAAAAGAAGACACAAAAATCCTGTGAGAAAACACAAGAGTTCCATTTGATGTGGAAAATTTCTGATATTTTTTACGTGAAAATGGACGCAAACTATTTCGTTAACAATTGGTTTAAGCACAATCAAATTTATAGCATTATCAATCAAAAATTGCGCCCAGTATCTTTTAATTCCTATAATGTCGTTAAAATTCACGTGAAGAGATGCAGAAATGGAAACCTTCGTCATGCGAGTTCCCCCTCCCTTTTTTTAAAGCAGCATTTTCGAAAAAAAAAAAAGTGAACTTCTTCCATATGATCACATGATCTAACTTCTTCATAAAAAAACATGTTTTAATTTACATTAGAAGACATATAAAAAGGAGGGCTGCCTGCTTCGCTAACAAAATTTACACAAGTATATGTTAGAACTTCCATAGTCATTGCTGTCACTATCAGAATCAATTATTTCGAATGCGTTCAAATTAAACATACAAACTGTTTATATAAAATTTAAAGTTGTAACATTTGTGTATGATGATAAATCAATAAAACTTTGAACAAAACACGTTGAAACGAAACAGGAAACAGTGAGGAAATATACAATACCCAAATGATATCATGTGTTTCGTACCAAATAAATTAAATAAAAATACAAACAGAAAAATTTTTTTACGATTAATTAACATTATCTATGAATGAAAAGCAAAGTCGAATAAACGAAATGTGATAATAGAAAACGCAAGGTATCAAAATTTATGGAATGCAGGCAAATCCACATTCTTCAAAAGTATTGTCTCTATGACATGATGGCAAAACCACTAAATGATTAAGATCAGGTCCTTACCTAGGAGGATGACACACAAAAACTTTGAAACAAGTGAAGCGGTTTTTAGAAAACAACGAATAAAACATGACAAGATTCGTTCTACTCGAATTTAGCGACGCGGAAACAAAGAACACCATATTTTTTCACTCGACGGGCGTGAGTAATATTACCTTAGAAATGCACTTATAGTTAGTTTAAGAGTTATAGCAAAGAAGAACAGAAAATCGTAGTGTTTGGATTATGAATGCTTAAATGCTATTATAAATTACTGAAGTATAACATAACAGCTGAAGTTCGTTTTAAAATTCTTCTGAACTGAAAATAAACAGTCTATGAGAATGTATAAAAGACTTACGACCGTACATAGAAAAAACTGTGTACTTCAATAAATGTAGCTATGTACACTGGCCATCAAAACTAAAAGATAATGATAGAAATAAAACACAACTGAATGAAAAATTATTAATTGAAATGTGTACAAAAGCATTTTTTAACATTAATCACGATGTTAGGCAGTTGATTATTCTTAAAATATTGACACTGAAACCAAATTTATGGAAAATGGAAAACGATGGAAAAAAGTCACCCCTTGCGGAAATATTTTTTATTTACTATGGTGTATGGAAATCAAGATATGCAAATCTAACATCTTGATTTCATACACTTTACCAAAACGTTGATCAAGTCTTGTGGATAAGGCATTTCCTCACAGAAGCGCAATCGGGTTCAAGACGGGTGAATTGAGATGGCCAGTCCATTCGAGTAATATCTTATCCTATGTTTGCAAGTATTATGATACCACATATGCTCGATGATGCCCAGCGTTGTCATCGATTAGCAAAAACTCTGGACCTAAAGCATCCCTAAACAGTCTAGCTTGAGTTCCAATACCTCATCCACATATCTCTGAGTTGTTACACAGCCTCCTTGAAAGATATACAGTTCGGTGCGGCCATTTGTCATAATTCATTCTCAAACTATTAAACCTCTCCAGATTATATGTGGACTCGCCAGTAAACAATGCTCGGGCCTAGTCATCTTAGCTCCATTGAACGTAACGACGGCACCAGTTTAAACGGGCCGGTTTTGGAAATTGAATTGAGTTAGAAACAAATCATTGGTTTTCTTGCATACAGTCCAACCTCGTTAAGCCTTCGCCCAGCAGCAGAATGGCTAATTCGAGTTCCTGTGGCAGGCTGAAGGTCTAAAACCTAATCTTTTGTAGTCGCTTCGCAAATCTTCCGAACCCACAACGACAAAATCGGTTTTCTGATGCAGTTTTTACACTTGATTGCTCTTGGCCAGGCTGTCTATGCAGTGATCCAGACCTTAAAAAGGGCTCCAAACTCTTGATATGATACTTTGAGGAATCTTCAAATATTGGGTGACCTTCATTTGGGTTTGACATCCTTCGATTCTACCAATTATCTGCCACTTTTGACCTTCACTTAAATGATGCTGTTCGATTATTCGCAATTTACCACCCCCCCCAAACCAAATTTCATGAAATTTACACAGCGGACAGATTCAAATATACTGGTTAAGGATAAATTAAGGAAAAATCACAAAAATAGCGATAACTCCGTCAAAAATAAGCCAAACCGTGTAAAATTTGAATATGTTGCCAAGTAAGAGTAGCTGAGTAAAACTCCAATATGCAAATTAGTGGCGCTGCACTAGGAATACGTCATCTGCGAGGAGCATAAAAGTCCATGTTTGAGATCAAGCCCACATATTTCACTGTGATAGTGACATCAGAAATCTCAGAGAGCCAATTCGTAACAATGATCTCCAGGCATCATCTGCCTGCAGAACTACGACAGAAAGCCATTGGGAGACTAGAGGCAGGACAAAGTCAAACAGAAGTGGCCAGATGGCTAAATGTGAGTCCTTCTGTAGTTCATAGACTTTGGAGGCAATTTCAAATCACAGATTCGGCACCTAGGAGGTTCAGCCAAGGACGGCCAACTGCTACGACGAGCGCCGAGGACCGATATTTGGTATTATGTGCACTCAGGAATAGAACC